GAGAAATAAAGGTAATGTCCTTTTCACCAGTCTGCTCTGTAACACAGGTTCTCTGAATTCACTGGATAGATCCCAGCTGAAGCAAGAGAACATGATTCAGGGAAAAAAAAAATCATCTGAATTTAATGGTGGAAATTCCATCACAACTTTCACAAAGTTGTTTTGTTTCCTGACATTTTCATATGCAGCAGAGGATAATATTGGGTATTATCTGTGCTATTAAAACCTTTATGAATAATTATTTGGAACAATTTAATAGTAACATTACAATTAATGACTGGTTTCTTAATCATGGAATTGGGGTCTGTGTTTTCCCAAGAAAGGCAAGTGAATTTTTTGTTTCTTCATTTGAAAGAAAGCTTCCTTTGATCTGATGAACAATAAAGCATCAGCAACTGAAACCTGTCATTACATTGCTGCAGGGTTCATGAAATTATCCCTCTTTAATCTAAAGAAACACAATTCTAGTATGCATTAAACCTTTGATCTGTATCTGCATCTCCTAAGATATCTCCTGGAGTATCTCTAATTGAGTTATCTGATATGTTTATATAGAAGCAGAGACAGGAGTGGCATTTGAAGGATTTAGATAGCATCACATTCTTCAGTAGGAACCCGCTAGGAAGCTAAAATTAGAAAGGAGATACAAAACTATTCTTTGATCAGAGAAGAGAGCTGCCATGAAGGCCCTGAAGCGCAAGCAGTCCCCTCCTACTTGGTGATACTGGCTTGCCTGCAGCAAGGTCTATTTTCTGGTAAAGATTCCCAGCATCATACCCCAGGCGAGTCTGAAAATCTATGGGATTATTCAGCACAATATTCAGCAATACCTTGGGCTGTGTGGAAGTGACTCCTGTTGACTTTACAGGAGATGTGTCTGCAGTTTATGGGATAATAATGACATGGCTGCTGTTTTTGGGGATGCAGCCAGTCACTAGGAAATTGAGCTGCAGAAATACCAAAGAAAGGGTAATTTGCACATATGGAGCTGCAAGAACACACAAGCTACATGGATATAGTTGCATTTGTTGAAAGAGAAAGAACATTGATATCTGATAATAAAGTTAGAAGCTTCATCCTGCTCTCAGTTGAGTCAAAGGTAATTTTGTTACTGATCTGAATAACAGCAGTGGCAGTCAGCCCCGGTTTAGAGAATTATATCAACAAAATCCATCATCCTAGCTTTATAAAACGATACTGATAGAACTTTGCAGTAATATGGTCCAATTTTATCTGAAATAACGATATGTCTAGAGCCACAAATGCATTTTTCTTTTGCTGTTTCATATACTGCTGGGAAAACCTGTAAATATCTGTAAAACTTAACAAATTCTGAATAACATGCACTGTTGTTAGTGCTGCTATTTTCAAGTGCATTATCAGGGGTGTGTGTATCTGTGGTTGGCAGAATGACACAGCTGTGCTGTGCGGATAGTAGCTGTCAGGGGAAAATAGTGAAAGTATTGACAAATATAGTTCATTAATTTGTTTTTCAAATTCTATTGGAATCATAATATCTCCAATACTTCAGGATCAAAAAACAAATAAAAGCAAGCGTAGTCCTTTTTAGGGAAAGGCTAGGTGTTTTTCCCATGTGTCCAAGGGGTCTTACAATTCTCTCAAATGTATGGAGAGATATTAGTAGCTCTATGGGAGAAATACGGATATGCCTGCATGTTTATATGGGATCGGAGTTCTCCATGAACCCCAGTTTGCCACTGCTGGGCTAGGCTGTACTGCAGCCTTGAAGGTTTCCTTAATGTCTCTTAAAAACATTACCATGCTGCCAGGAGGCTGCTGCAGGGGACTTCTTACAGCTCCACATTCTGCATTCTTCTCCACATTGGAGAAGATAAGGCTCCAGGGAGACCTTAGAGCAGTCTTCCGGTACCTAAAGGGGACCTACAAGAAAACTAGAGAAGGACTTTTTACAAGGACATGTAGGGATAGGTCAAGGGGAATGGCTTTAAACAGGAAGAGTGTAGATTTTCGTTGTATAAAATTTATTCCTTTTATCTAATAAGGCTGGCAAAACACTGGCACAGCTTGCCCAGAGTGGTGGTAGGTGCCCCATCCCTGGAAACATTCAAGGTCAGGTGGGATGAGCGTCTGAGCAACCTGATCTAGTTGAAGATGTACCAGCTTATTGCAGGAGAGGTTGGACTAGATGACATCTTAAGGTCCTTTCCAACCCAAACTATTCCATGATTCATCAACTAGCTCTTGTTTTAGAAATAGGTGGATCCATAGTCGGGTGTAACTGGGTGTTGAGCTGAGCCCAGAGTGACAAAATGTAGAGGGTGCAGCCTCATGGGTAGGGTAGGAGATGGGCAGCGTGACTTACATCTTGTGCTAACAGAACTGAGACCCACCCAGACGAAACAAGGCTAATTACTTACTCTGTCTCATGGGCTGCTAGGTGTTTTTATCCATTCTAGTAGATAAATATTCCTGTGCCACTGGGCTTTGATGCTCAAAGCTAATGAGAAGGAAGAAACATGACCTATTTTTTTACTACCAAGAGATTTGCTTTTATATTTCATTTGCAGTAAGTACACAAAATACAGCTGGGGATACTTTATTTATTGTGACAGAGCAATGTGACTGATAGATAAACAGAACCAGTTCACAACACTTACAGTGCTCTGCTGACTCACCATGTCACCAAAAAAATGACAATTGTGTGTTTCATCTTAAAAGTTTAGGTGATAAACGTGTTATACGATAGGCAATATGTGTGAATTTCTTGTTAGGGGGGTTTTTTGCTTTTAAACTTTTTTCTTTGCAGAACTTAGAATAGAATATTTCAGTTGGAAGGAACTTACAACGATCATCTAGTCCAACTGCCTGACCACTTCAGGGCTCACCAAAGGTGAAAGCATGGTAATAAGGGCATTGTGCAGATGCCTCTTCAACACTGACAGGCTTGGGGCTTTGCCCCACCTCTCTAGGCAGCCTGCTGCAGTGTTCGACCACCCTCTCAGTAAAGAAATGCTGCCTTATGTTAAGCCTGAACAGCTATCATGTGTTCTATGACTGGATACCAGGTAGAAGAGCTCACCACCTCACTTGCCCTCCTCAGGAAGCTGTAGAGAGCAATGAGGTCACCTCTCAGCCTCCTTTTCTCCAAACTAGACAAACCCAGAGCCCTCAGCTGCTCCTCATAGGACATTCCTTAGAGTTCTCTCACCAGCTCTGTTGCCCTCCTCTGGATGCATTCAAGGACCTTCACAACCTTAAATTCTGGGGCCCAGAACTCAAGGCAAGGCTGCACCAGTGCTGAACACAGGGGGATAATCCCCTCTTTGACTGTTTGGTTTTGCTGTGTTTAATGCACCTCAGGAGCAGTTTGCCCTCTGGGCTGCCAGGGCACATGGCTGACTCATAGGAGTATTATAGCATTTGCTTACTTTCCAAAACCTTGTTATAAAATTGATCTCTTCAGTGCTATTTCAGTGAACTTTAAAAAATTACCAAATATTTAACATGTTTTAAGAAAGAAAGAAACAAACCATAGTTATCCTGTTTTTTTTCCAAAAAAAAATAATTCTACCAGCCAAGCTTGCTTCACATTAACAAAGTGGTATTTCTAAATTCCTGCAGATTTTCAGCTATAGCAGTATTGGACTTCAATGTGCAAGACACCAGAATATTCCCCACTCCTAACTCTGCAGGAGGAACTGTGAGATTCAAAGATCAACTTTCTGTTCACCTCTGCAGGGCTGAGTACTGAGTTTCCAATGGTTCAGAACTTGACAGTTCTTAGCTACCTTGCTGAACTGGGACTTTACTGGGAAACAAAATATATTCTTCAGAATCAAATAACTTAGAGAAATCAAAAGAAATAAACATATGAATAAACATACTATGGTATGGAGATCAGAGAACAACTTGCATTTAATTAGGAGGTACTAAAGAGTAGCTGAATTAATAAGGGTTGCAGTTGTCATACTCATTTATGTGTAGTACACATTTTGAAAAGGAAGATAGATGTTGCTTGTTGAAAGGGTTTCTTTCATGATGCAAAATACTTGCTATAAATATGCCACTTTAACAAAAGGGAATAGTATGAGCAGGAGTTAAATGTAGAATGCTAAATAGCAGATTTAAATTATTCTCTGGCATCTTTGAGAAGTTTCTATTGGAAAAATGCATGAAAATAACACTTTCTTTTTAACCACTCTCAAATTACTGAAACATATGGTAAATTACAAACAAAAACATCTATCTGTTAAAAAAGTTAGCTGCCAGCTAGGCTTTGAATTGTTAGTCTTTTGAAATGAATTATTCTAGTCCTGTGGGATGGTTCCATCAGGAGAGGGTTTTGATAGCTGAGAACATGGTTTATGAATCCCTGAGATCTTCCAGGCTGTTCAAAGTTTCTGTTGGTTTTTGTGCTGACCACTAGGATCCCAACCTTGGTTTTATGAACAAAAAAATGTCCTAGCACATACTTGTAATAATTTTGAAACCTCTTGGCTCGCTGTTGGCTCAGACATCTTTAAAACCAGACTAAGTTACCATCATGCTCTGTTAAACTGTCCTTTGTTTTAGCTGGAGTTCCAGCCAAAGAAAAAATGATACACCTTCCCAGTGTCCACACAAGAAAATACCTATGACTAGGAAGGATCCTGTATCTGTAGCACAAATATAATTTCCAGAATGCATTTTGTCAAATAGAAATGTAAAAGTTTTCAGGGAAGTGTAATCCCAGAGAGTTGAGCTCTTCCTGTAGGCTATGATCCAAACTAGCAGGAAGTTTTGCAAGCTTCCCTCTAGAACAACCAGCAGTGCATCCTGACCTTCAATCTGGCAGTCATCTGCTGCTTGCCAGGTTAGGCTGGCAATCCTCTCACTACATTTCTCAGTCTGCATGGAGCCCTCTGGCTGCTCGTCTGCCAAGGTCTCTCTGATTTGGAGCTGCCTGCCTGTACACTCAGTGGGACTTGCAAGTTCTGGTTCAGTTCTTGTTGCAGTCTTCAAGTTTCACTTTGTTTTAGCCATTTTTTATTTCTACAAGCAGTGCCAGTGTTTTGGTTTCATATTGATGCAACAGAATACAAATTCACATCAATAATTGAAAGATAGGTCCAGCTTCAGCGGAATTCTTATTCTTTTGATGGGAAGTACTGAGCCAGCATTTGGGTCTCATAGCATCTCCACTCTGTCAGAGACTCACATGTAAATGGATTTTCAACACTGAGGGAACACATTGTTTCTACTGCAAAAAGAACACGATGATAGAATTGCTTACTTCATTTGTGTACATGATTGGCAAGTCTTGTTTACTGAAATACAGGGGAAATCAAAAGAAGTAGACTTGGGAGTGACTTCAGAGGCTTTCAGCTGCACACAGCTCAAAGGTGCCCCGCATGGCACTGCCTGTAGCTGATATTTCTGTAGAACCGTCTCTTTTTCCTTTCTTGGTCTTTCCCCTTTTTCTGTTTGTTCAATTTCTGTCTCTCCTTTTCCCCTTATGCTTATGAAACCTGCAAACTCCTGGCATCTCTTGTTTTGTGCAGTGATAGATATATCTATATTTATCTATAGATAGATATATCTGTATATATACAAATACTGTATGTATTTGTAGTTGCTAAAGACTCATTCCTGTTTTTGAATGTTACCTTGTTACTTGCACAAAAAGCAATGGTTTCTTACAAATTATCTTAAATAAGAAATTTTTCCTTTCAGCTTGTAATAGAAATATATTCACAGAAATAGATTCAAGTTAATTTTATCATAGTGCAACATGTGACAGGGAAAACACAAGGTTAGCAGGCATTGGGCATGGAGCAGTTTATTGTCTTTTGTAGCTTTATAGAAAAGGAAAATAATATGTTTTCCTTTCCTAACTGCTTGTGATTAGGAGTCTTAAAAGCCAAACCTGGATCAGATCTTAGTTGCGTTTCTTAAATACTGGAATCTTTCAAAGATACCATACATATATTGCCCAGAGGTAAAGGTGTGCAGGTTGCCTGGCTAAGCAGTGCCTCAGCAGCTCCCAGGGACCTGCAAACTTATTTTGCATAAAGCTGAACAGATTGCCCTACCAGTTCAATACAGTGTTTCATATGGCATGTCCTTAATTATGTCTCTGTATGGAAGCAGAAGATTGCTGCTAGCAGGAGACCAGGGCAGTGCAGGCTGCCTGTGGCCACTGCTCAGAGACAGTTTGTTTCTTTTCAGATTGAAAAGTTCTGTGGTCAGTTTTTAGGATATTGAAACATTTTCTTGAGGATGAAGGATTGAAGGAGTTTTTAGCTATTTGAAGGTCTGTTCTGAGAGACTTTTTCTTTTATCACACGTAATGCAGTATTTGCTATGGCAGGTGGCCATTTACTGTTGGGAATAATTATGCAGTGCTGATTATTTATTTTTATTTTTATTTTTCAGAATTTCTTCTTTATTGCCCTCCTTCACCTCATCACTGCTTCTCATCTCCTTTTTCCCTGTGTGCATAGCTGAGTTGTATTTTTCTGTGCCAAGAGCAATGAATAAATCATATGAACGTTTGTAAAGGTGTGCCACAGCACTGCCATCTCTCTGCAATAGAAATTGCCAGGGGTCAGTTCTGTTCTCCTTCCCTAAGCCAGGCAAAGAAAGAGTAATTTGGCAAAAAGTCCTTGTCACTACAGGTTGCAAGTGTAACAAGACCATAAGGAATTTCACGTCAGCCTTGCTGATGTGTGAGATTGTGTATGAAAGCAGAAACACTGGAAACAGAAGAAAAGAATAGAGATGCTGCTCAGTGTGTTTGTAAGAGGCACTGCCTCTCCTTGCTTTTCTAGGAAGGAATGTGTAGGTTTGCACTTAACACTGTTCAGAGTTCTGTTCATTTGATGTGGTTAGGTCCTACATCTCTTTATTAGTGCATAATATCTCCTTAATGTCTGGAAATATGTGTCAAGCCTCATCTGTATGAGAAATGAAGATTAGTAATTCTCTGCAGTAACTATACTACATCTGGATTTTACACTGCAACAATCCCTTTGGTTATGTTTGCATGACTCGTAAAGGCTGAAGCTTCCGTTTAATATTTTCAGCTGTGGGAGTGAGCTGGAGCTTGTGTTTATGTAACAGAAATGCTGTTTATGCACTTGGTATTTCAAATACCTGTAGCTGATTGTGCTTCAGCTTCTGCTGAGCCGTTTTCTAAGGGCGCCGTTTTGCTACTGGTATAAACCAATGAGATTGTGGTGCTGACATTACTGGTGCTTCTTCTGTTGTTCCCCTGGTTCCTGCATTATGCTTGCAGGAGGAAAGCTGCAGGAGCTGCTTGGCAGAAGGACTATTGTGTTATCTCGGTGACAGCCAGCAGTGTGATCTGTTCAGCTGTGTCATCAAACTGCACCCTGAAGGTGCCCCTGCCAAAAGCAATACATTCAGTTTTTCAGCTGAGTCAGTGAGTGTATAAGGTGGCTGCTGCAGTTCTGGAGTAAGGGTGGGTGTGAGGGAAGAGTAACGAGATAGGAAGGAAGGGAATTTACAGGACCAGCTCTGTCTTTAGAGGCACAGGTCTAGGTACACATATGCCAGTCTATGAAGTAAGTCTTCGAGGTGGACTTAGACATGGATTCTGTTTTGATTTTTTTTCTTTAAATGTCAGACTTCTAAAATGTGTTTGTGGTCTGACAAACCACCTTGGAAAATATTCATCATAAGGCCTTGCTCTCAGCATGTGTGGTCTGAATATGTTTTGGGGTGGGGTTTTGTATTAGAATGCAGGCTATTTGTCCTTGGGATCTGTCTGGAATGAGTAGGCAGTTCAGATTAGACTTCTGGTCCCTTCAGTTCCAGGATGAAGAGCTTGTAGGACAGTCAGTGCTATAGATCTCCCCCACCAGCCAATGCACTGAAAGGTACCTGTTGTCAGTCCCTCCCCTTGAAAGCAAGAAGACTGAAGCCAAGAGAATGCCTTTCACCAGAATGGGGGGGTTAGAGTCCAGAGAAGACCAACCTCCTGCATACACACTGTGGGCACCAGACACTCAGCAACATGCCCACTGATGCTGTGAAGAGTTTTGAAACTAAGAATGTCTGCTTTGTCCCATTTATATTAACTGGGCTAATGAAATCAGGCAGAGAAGTTCTCTTTAATCATGGATATTTCACAGTTCCTATTAATACTGCTACTTGAGTCATCTTGTTTCTACTGTAGTAGTGTAGAAGTAATATTAATTTATCCTATGTGAGTTAGATAAATCCTGGACTAGAGAGATTTTTGCAGTGTATTGGGTATCTTGATTCAAACAGTATAGAATAATGAAATGCTGATGCCATTTAGCAACAGAGAGACCACATGATATGCTCTGGTTCAGCGGCTGTCAGTAGACAAGTCTTTCTAGTACAGAACATCTGAAAACATGATCAGGAAACACAGAGAGGGGAAAAAGAATGAAATTGTGGCCTGTTGGAAGTGGTGAGAAGCTTCCAGGGAATTTTGGATAGAGGATGAGATCTGATTTTGCTGAACTTTTCTGCTCCAGTCTGGTCATGGTTTATGATTTTGCCATTCTGCTGTTAAATGAGCAGTCGTATTTATCTTGTTACCAGAGATCACTGTTCAGATTAGCTGGGAGATCTGTTTCTGCCCCATATTAGTTGTGTAGGAAACAAAATCTTGTTACAGAAGAGTTTTCAGTCTAGCCAAAGACACAAGATGTGGCTGAAAGCTAGAAGCGAGGTGAATTCTGAACAGAAGCAAGCAAATAGTTTAAATAGAGACAGTTAATTAACTACGGGAACAATTTACAGAGACTAGCAGATTCTCTGTTATTGTCAGTTCAGGAATGAAGCTTGTTGGGGAATCCAAATGAACTCTTTATTTCTAAGAGGAATTAATTCAGGGATGCTGAAGGTCAGAACAGGTAATCTCAGTGGTCCCACCTGGCGAGATCTGAGTAGGTCTTTGAAATATCTCTCCAAAGCAGTCTGAAAGTGTATCCTGTTGCCTGTTGCAAATCAGTATAAAGAAATGAAAACTAAGGCAGAAAGAAAGGACACTTTAGCTACTATAGACTTTCTTTATAAACTGGGCTACTGAATAAGAGATTAGCATATTTTAGCAGTTTTGTATATCAAAATGGACATACTATTTTTGCTGCTTTTTGATCCTAACAAGGATAAAATGGAGATGTCTCTGGGGATTTTTCCAGTCTTAATTTTGTGAATAGAAATATAGATTAAGAGTAAAACCAAAGCCAGAGAAATGATGTTCAGAAAACAATTACCGTGCTGAAAACATGGGTGTCAAACACTGGATTGTCATAGTGGAGTTTTGCTCACTGTATTAAAGATACTTTAGGGTCATATTATGTAAAGATTTTCCTCTGAAACTTCACAATGGATACATATATTGATGGTGTATCTTGCAATGTCTTCAAATTTTAAAACCGAAATGTTTTGATGACGGAGCAGTTTCTCCTGTAAGAAGAGAGATGCTTTCCAAAAGTGGTGTATGAATAGCCATGAACCAAGTTTTTCTGAACAAAGATAACTCTGATGATAGGAATACTCTTTCCAGGTTCCTGTCAGTTGCATCCCTCTCCGGAGACCTCAGAAGCAGCAAGGTACAAGGCTGAGTTTCACAAAGAGGACTAAAGTATCCACCTCCATTGCTTGTTGAATGAGGATGTATTTTTCTTCACTGGGCACTTGAGAGGAGCTCAGATCCTCTGCATAAGCTAGTGAGGAAGGCAGAACTGATGCTGCTCTTTGTGCCATGTTTTCTTTGCTCAGTGTTTCATGTGGTTGAATGCTGGAAGCTCTTAGAACTCAGAGTAACCACAGATGAGAGCTGCAGGCAGGACTGTGAGGCTGACGTACTCCTGCGGCACAGATCCAGTTGTAAGGGAAGACAAAGGTCCTGTGGTTTTCTTGGGGAATAGTCAGCTGGCTTCTGTTGTGGCAGATGCTCTGAGCATCTATCTTAAACAACAAGGCATAATTTAATAGGATTTTAAGTGTAACTAATGCTCTTGTTTCAGTTTACAGGCTTGAATTAAATCACTTGGGGAGGAGGAGATGCTACTTTTTTGGCTAAAAATTTTCAGGGCATTTTGTTTAAATTTGTACAGCTGGCACATCCACAGCTGATAACTCATGCAGATGTCATGTGGAGAACTGCAAGGCTTCTGGCTAAAACAAAACCCAAACCCACAATTTATTCCTCTTCAGCATCTTAATTAGTTTTATAAAAAAGGAAGTATTAGGAAACATGGGGTTGTGGGAGATTCTTATGTTGTGAACAGTGACGTATTAGGGATCTGTTTAAATCTAAGTTAAACTTATGCCCAGGGTATGTATTACTGGAGGACAGCAGATGGAAATGGGTATGTGTAGATACATGTGCACTGGTACATGGCTTGGGTCTGAGCAATGGCACACTCTGGTACTGTGAAACTGTTAGAAGAATGATTGCCAGCGCAGACAGCTTTGGCCAAGGCTAATTTACAGTCTCACAAACAGTTTGTGGCCATGATTTAGATGATACAGTGTGCCAGGGATCATTCCCAATGAACAGTTTGCATGCAGCCACTCCAAGAGGCTGCAGGTTTAATAGACTTGGCCAGATGATGCCATTTGGCCTTAGGGCCAGAGGACTGGCCCAGGCACTGTGTAGTTTGCCAGTTGCTCTGACCAGCGCAGGAGGAATTCATGCTGGTTTTAGCAGTGTTCCACTATAATGAAATGACCTCTCCCACACGTCATTTTAGACGTTTTATTTCTGTTTGAACAGATACTTAATTTTTGTGTTAAGAAAATCTCAGTCTGTGTCTCTTTTGGGCCTTTCTTGCAGCTTTTTTGGTGAAAGGCAGAGGAAAATATTTTCTACGCTGACAACAGAATTTGTCTCTGCAATTTTTGGGGACATAATAAAAGGCATGTCGTCTTGGATGCTGGAAGTGGTGATGTTGCAGTGATTTTGCTGTTGTTGGTGGTGTGTTATTTGCACACAATTTTAGGAGCTGCCTTCTATGTGGAAAAGTGTTCCTTTCACATATGTCTAAAAACCCCCACCAGCTATAAAGAAAAGGAAAAAGAATAAGACACTGAGACATACCTTCCTATCCAGCCTGCTTCTTAAGAAAGACAGTAATCATTTAAGAGCTTTGCAGTTTCTTGGGATGGCTACCTTCTTATTTCAAGGAAACAGTGATTTCACCAGCATTACCTCCAAAAGTTATGTACATTTAGGTAGGCAGACTGGGCTGTGTGACAAGAACAACTAGCACATGCACTTTAAAAATCCTCTGATTTCCAAATAGTATCTAGGTCATATGATACCCACAGGCATGATTCATCCACCTGGGCTTTATGCCAGTCAGCAACTGCGTGGATCTGACACTCCGGGAGTACTGTAATATTATTAAAGCTGTATTTTTTTTCTTCAAATAATACTCTTGATGATAGCTGTAAAAAATATAATTTATAGTTGCTTTCTGAAAGAATTAATTTCATTAAGTAGATGCAAAAAATACAGTGTGCGCTGAAGAGAATACAGAGCAGACTTGGCTGAATGAGCCCAGGTAGCTTTCCTCAGCCCTACAGACTTGCATTTTGAATGTTGCTATCTTGATATAAAGTCTGATTTCACCTGAGTGTGTCTGCTTGAAGGCCCACTAGCTCTTAAGGGTTGATCTTAGCTACAGTGAGCTAAAAGCTGCCGCTGTTGTGCCTCTGTTAGGCTTCTCTATGAAGATGGTAATCTCTTTGAGGGGCAGAAACCCCATAGTACAAACCTCATGCTTTTTTTTTTTTGTGATGAAGTAAATTTTCAAGAGATGAGCTCATGCTTATTTTTAGGCCTGTGTATAATGCAGACAGACACTCTTAATTAGAGATTCAACAAGCCTTGCTCAGGGAACTGCTGAGCTGCATTTTAAAAGATGTGTAGGTGTCTAGGAAAACAAAAATGTGTGTGGCTGGGGTGTGTTTTTTCAGATGTACTGACATGTTTACCTCAATGAATACTTAGAGGAATAGATTCTCCTGGGACTTGCCAGGTTGCTTACCTTGCATTTCTAGGTGCCTGTATGCTTAGGAAAACATAGCTCCTAATGACTTGGAAAACCAGCTGCCTCTTTTAACTCCTACTTCGGAAGTTGGAGTTATATACATTTTTTTTTTTTTTTTTGGAGCATCTTTAGAAGGTAAAGGCTGAAATTCCCACAGTCGAACTAAAGAGACACCTTCTAGAAATGAGGTGAAGAAGTATAACCTTTGCCAAGTTGCAAAGAAACAGCAGTGTTCAACTTTTATAAACTTAAAACTGAAAAAAAGTACTTTCTCCTTTGTCTTTCTGAGTTTGTGACTTCCCATCCCATGAAAGTGGGATGGGAAAGGAGGAATGTCTTCAGGTTTGTAAGCATGTCTGGGTTATGGTGGACTTGCCCTGAGTATTGTGTTTTTTTCCTTTCTTTCTGTCTAGATAAAGAAGAGGCAACAAGATGTGGTAAGGTTTCTGGAAGCTAATCGCATAGAGTTTGAAGAAGTGGATATCACAATGTCAGAGGAGAAAAGACAATGGATGTATAAAAACATTCCTGAGGATAGGCAGCCCGCGCAAGGCAATCCACTGCCACCACAGATATTCAGTGATGATCGGTACTGTGGAGTAAGTAGCTGTTGTGTTTGTCTTTCGATGATATATTAGTATACACTGTTGGCCATTTAAAAAGCTGGGTCTTGCTGGTGAGCCATCTCTAGTAGCATCTGAATTAATGGTGACAGTTTGCGGCAATAGGATCAAGTAACGATCACATATTACTGTGAAAATTCAGATCATTCATCTGTAAATCCTAAGGTTGTCTTCAGGTAGTGGATTCCCTTCACAAATGTAAGAATTTGTAATGTTACATGCTTTGTGTACCACCTGTTGATTGGTGAAGTCCCTTGTGAGAACACTGTAAGCAGGGGATTTATGGTTTTCTTGCTACTTGGGTCTAGTCCAAGCATAAAAATTCAGAAGGCAATCTTTGGAACAGTAAATGGGAACATTGGCTAGATTGAGTTATATTGTCATTGTAATTAACCTTCTTCTCAGCTGCATCGTAGTGTAAATTTCGTTTATGCTCACAGAGCCTTTGTGCAGAATCTCTAGGATAAATGAAAACTATTTGCTGTTTGAGTTGTAGAATAGCTTTATTTTTCCCTAAAGCAAAGCAGCTTGAGACTTGTCTTCATTTGCTGAAAGACTGCTAAGCATGAGAGCCTGTGAATCTGACAACAGATTGATGGGTGGGCTGGTTTCTCTGATGTTTTAAGCTGCCATAACTTCTCCATCCAGTGCAAGCTGGAGTGGTAGCCTTTGATATGTTAAGAATGGCACCATATGGATGTTTTACTATGCTGCTCAGACAGCATGAGCCTTGGGCACTGTTGTAGTCTGGAAGAATCTTCCCAGAACTTCTACTCACCTTTGAACAAAATGTTGTAAAAAGACCACAGCTGGGTCCTCTTTGCCTTGCTTCATCCTTTCATATTTGAACCATGTGACCTACATCCTTCAGGAGGCAGGTTTCAGGTGCCTGTTAGAGTCAGGGAAGTTTGATCAGTAAGTGACTGAGAATTCAGTAGGAGAATGAAAAAGGGAAGAGGGCCTCTGTAATTATAATAGCTGTAACAGAGTAAATGTGGGTATTCTGTGGGTTTCTGACTACAGTGTGCTGAAGATACATCCAAGCTGGTTTTAACTTTGTCCCTGCCAGACTCAACAGAGCTGTAACGAAGCTCCTTCTGGCTGATGGATCGTTCAGATCTGCTGAGAACCTGTCAACTGCAGTGCACTTGTTAGCTTAGTGTAGGAAGCATGTAAGAAGTGAATTAGGATCCTCTGCAACAAACAGATTGAGTATGATGAAGCAGCTAACTGGCTTCTTGAAGTGAGGTATTTAACATCCCTCCTATATGCTTTATATTGGCCTTACTTGTTTACCTCAGCAGTATAACTCATATCTTCCTACTTCCAGGTAAGAAACGTTAATTAAAGAAATGTATCCGGGACATGAAAGGGATTTTGACCCTCACTTATGGAGCTGCCCCTCACTTACAAATAACAATATTTACATTGTTCTGTGTGATTTTTAGTTTGCCTGGGAAACACAATGTTTTAAGCTGTTGTCTCTTACCTTTTCAGCTTGTCTTCATAGTATGTTTTAACCTAGTCTTAGAAATTGCTGTTTGGAATTAGCAAGGAAGAAGATGTCATGCAACATGTGAGATGATCTCGTTAATCTGTCTGCTCAGCTGATAGCCGTTTTGGTTGAGCAGAGTTAATCCTATTACTAGGCCTCGCTGTCTGCATGAACATCTATAAAGAGCAAACATGCTTTGGAAGAAACTGTATTTTCTAGGATGAAGAAAGAAGAATGCACAGGATCTCCAACATTCATCAGTTAAGACTGCTGCATTAGTTAATGAAGTTCTTGGGTAGTAGAGTAGAGGCAAAACACTAGGCAGGAGGCAAAGGAGGTCAGTGCTGGAAAGGGGGTTAAAATAACACAGTTAGATGAAGTCAGCAGACATTGCACATCTTGTCTCTATCGTTTCCACAGTGGGTGTTTTCATATGTTTATCTTGACAAACTAAAAAAACTTTAACTAAAAAATTCAAATAAATCACTATTAAATAACTTAAATTGAAAAAAGTAAACACTGAGTTTTCTGTTAGTTGAGTTAGTGAAAATTCTAGCCTATCATTCCTGATTTGTGTCCAGGCAATTTCTAATCCAATTTGTTCTATTAACAAACACTCTCTGTTTTTTCTGCCTGCCGGTTCTAAAGTCTCACCAGGAAACTGCCTATGTACTTATTCCGGCTCATACATTGTTACTGACAATACAGACTGATTGACTTACAGTGCAGACTGATCAGATCCACTAATGTTCATCCTAATGTATAAGGGCTAAACAAGGCAAAGCAAAATAAGAACGCTTTTTATTTTGTTCATGTTATTTCATGACAATATGAGAAATGAGAAATAACATGGACATGTTCAGAAGCATATGAGCTGTGACTCAATGTCACGTTCATAGCCATACTGTTTTTTTCTGTGTAGTAAGAGCATTAATAGGTGTTTTGTTGGTTGGTTGGTTTGTTTTTTTTAACTCTTCTCCCCATATTCCCTTTAGTAGAAAACATCAGCAATGCCCTCAGGGGTATTATCGCAGAATAGGTTTTTCTCACTAAGACATTACCATTTGGAATAATCACTTTTCAGAATGTGACTACAATAAAGAGGAAGTTTGTCTGCAGTGTCATCAGTAAGTATGCAAAATGGATTGGTGTCAGCCATCCAAGCATGTAATAGTTGGTGTAAGAGGGGAGAAAGGTACAAAAAGATGACCAATGCTTACTGGTTCACAAAACACCTTGTACTGCAGGGGCAGGGATCCTCTGGTACCAACAGACAAATTCCATGTTCTGAAGTATGAGCAAGACCTTGGATTTTTTCTGAGTCAATGTAATCTCAAATATGATAATTAATCTATCTTCTTCTTTTCTCTGTCTTCTGAGATGCACTCCACAATTTTTCAGTAACGAGTTCTGTGAATGGATTTTGAAATACAGTACTCGGCAAGAACCATTTTTATTTCCTGTGAACAAGAGAAGAGCTGTGAGCACACAAGAACACAAATCATTTTACTGATGATTTGCGCTATGACATAGCGCTGACACTATCATAATTTACATACTTCTATAATTTTACAGTCTTTTGTTTCCTCTTGGTGACATTGCTATAACATTGTAAGTGTGTGAGAAGAGAGTCCACATATCAGATGGCTCAGACACATGGACCTGCTCTTGTAATTTACAGGAGTGTAAATCTGAAATTGATAGTTACCTTGCTCTAGTTAGTACTATGTAAGAGTAAGGAAATGTCAGCAACTAGTGCATGTTCCAAGAAGGAACTAGTGCACTTTGCATAAAGAAAAGTGGAGATAGTTTGGAAAACATAAAAAACCCCAGTAACCTAAAAAATTGACAAAGAGAGCTTTAATAGGAAGGGGCTGATGTGTTGGGTTGCATTGGGTTGGATTGGACATGTTGGGTTGAGTGTGTTGGGTTGCATTAAAACCAGTTGTGTCTTGCCCGGTTCCTTACAAGGCTCATCCTCAGTTTTAGAGGCTCCTGCTGTTGTACTTTGGCACATAGCTATAACATACAACTCAAGTTATGTATTGTTTTCCCCCCAAGGTTAAATCTCCTTGAGGTACACACTGAGTTTCCCCATCTTCCTGCATTAATCACCAAGTGCACCCTGGCCTTTGAGCAAAAGAAACCGGCAAATGGATTTGCCTTTCCTGAGGCAGGAGTAACCCACACTCCCAGCCACTGTTCTCCACAGCGTAGTCTTTACCCACTTGTCTTTTTTATTCATGATACGTGTTTCTCATCCATGGATAACCTGTTCAATGGCTTTTATGGTCAGGTCCACCTCTTAATCATGAGCCCATCTATATATTGCATCTCTTCCTAGGTGTCCTGATGTGCAATGGGCCCACAGAACTATGAATAACTTGTTCCCAGTCCAGCTCCACCTTAGCCTTTTCAGTTCTGGCAGCCTGGTCTACCTACTCCTTGTTTCCATGTTCTTCGGTGGCATGGTTCTTGGAGAAGTGAGTATGTACATGAAGTACTTTTACAACAAGGTTCTCTACCTGGGCAGCAATGTCTTGCCACAGTTTAGCAGCCCAGATGGGCTTACTTTTGTGCTGCCAGTTACTCTGCTTCTGTTGTTTTAGCTACCCCCGCAGGGTGTTCGCCACCATCAGTGAGTCGGTGTACAGAGTACTAGCCACTTTTCTCTTTTGGCAATGTCTGTGGTCAGCTGGATGACTTTCACTTCTGCAAGCTGACTTGATTCACCTTTGCCTGTGACAGTTTCTGTGTCTTGTCTTGTGGGACTCCACAGAGCAGCATTCCACTCCTGATGCTTTCCCACAATATGCCAGAACCCATCAGTAAATAGAACATATTGTTTTTCATTTTCAGGTAATTTATCGTACAGTGAGTCCTCTTTGGCATGAGTCACCTCCCTAGGCAATGCTTCAAAATGTCTGCCTTCTGGCCAGTCCATGATTTCTTCTTTCTGTTCTCCCTCAGGAGAAGCTTCTATCTCCTTTGCTAACTGGGTCAGCCTACGCTTCTGGTTTTTCTTCTTGACTGCAGGAACAACTGTTGTAGTTGAGGGTTGGATTTCTGATTTGTCCACAATGTCTGTTTGTGTGTCCTCAGGTTGAAAGACCCTCACAGTGTCTGTTTATTTGTTGTCAGAGCCAAAGATCCCCTTGTTCCTTTAAGCACAGCCATAGGCCTATGGCAGCCCCCAACACAGCACTGGAAGGTATATCTTTATGGTATATGCAAGGCATCCTTCCTTCAAGTGGTCTGTCAATTCAGAAGGATTCTACATCTTCTGGAGTGAAGTCCCAAACCACTGGAGATGAAAACTGCTCTAGGCACCTGCCCAAATTCTCCCACGTGCTTTGCCACCCAGGAATTGGTTGCCTCAGGGAATAATATTTGGTCAGCCTTACGAAAAGCCAGTATCAGTGTTGGTGCAAATGCCAATACAACTTTTTCCATGGAAAATCCAGACAGATGGGGAGATTAC